GCATGCTCTCTATCTCAGTAAATGGAGCCTGGGCCCCCTCCACTGTCATGAGCTGAGCATTCAGTAAGTATGCTCACATTGTATAACACCAACATTTCAACATTAATCATGAAGTAGCAGCTATTTGATAGTGAGGAAGGAGAAATAAAGCTGAAATATCGGGAACAGAGGTATCAGAGCTTTCTGAATCTGGCCAAGGCAGTTTTTGTGTTACAACTGGGCCAAGACTGAGGAAGCTCTGGTAACTTCCTCCTTTCAACATTGTCTCTCTACAAAGAAGATATTAGAAATGGGTGTTTTCTAGGGGCTGGAGAGATGGCTCAGTGGTTAAGAGCGCTGGCTTCTCTTGCGGAGGATCTGTGTTTGGTTCCCAGCACACACACGGCAACTAACAACTGTCCATAACTCCAGTTTGAGGGGAATCCAATGCCTTCTGACCTCCATGGGCACTGCATGATATGGGCACACTTACATACACGCAGGCAATACACTCATTTGCATAAAATTTAAAAAAATTAGAAATGGATATTTTCTTATAAAACTGAAGACCCTGTGTGCATGAGACACACACACACACAGACACACACAGACACACACACACACCTATCTTCCTGGAGTCAGGCAGGCCTTTTGGGAATCAGCTCCCCATCACATGCCATCCACTTAGCCTCTTTCAGATCTCCACATCTCTGGAGCGGGTTGATGCTTACTTGGTAGTGCATAGGGTAGAGTTTTTGAGAATGTATGTACTGAGGTTTGCCTGGCATGTGATAAGCTCTCATTCTGGCTCTGAACTATTATTGCTGAATTTTTTTCACCAAGGCCCTGGACACTCAGAATTTCCTAAGGAGTTATCCATCAGGGTTTTGAAGGTCAAATGTCGGGAAGGAAGGAAGTTTGGGCAGATTTCGAGGGCAAGGAGACATCTGAGGTGAGAACTAGTCTTTAACCTTACAAGATAGGGTAAAGAAAATACACCATCTCAGAACTTCATTATTCCTTAAAAGAAAACAAAATCTCTCCTGAGTATGAGACATTGCTTCTCCCACAGAAACAAGCTTGCTTCTACTGCTCCACGGTGAGAAGCTTCTAGCAACCAGCACCATGCCCTTCTGCTCCCACTACCACCGGCCCCTCCTGCCATTGTGTTTCCTCTGCCTGGGAACATTCACCTAAACCCACGCACATCCCCCTTTGTCTCTCTGGATGCTATTTCCTGAGCTTACAGGGTGGTAGAAATACTAACTCAAGCACCCGTTCTCCAGTTCTTCCGACAGAGCTTCATTCACCATGGAAACAAGATGGGACAGGCAACCTGTTGCTCTCTTAGCTGTAACCTGCTGTCAGCTAAAAACTGCTATTGAAGTCAGCAGCAATGCACTAATAGTCAACACAACAATAAAACATTGCTCTTAGAGAGTGAAGGCATGGTTACATTTCTTAAGGTCATTCTGGGACCTGCCTCATTATAAAAGATAATGAAGGAACAGAGAACACAAAAGAAATTTGACAGAAAACAGTGATGAATCTTGGTCTGAGCGCAATCTTGTGTTGAGTCAGTAACCACTGTGCTATAAAAAGGAGATTTTTTTTTCTTTCTAGCCTAGAAATAAGAATTTCCATAATTTTTTTCCCATAAAACACAAAGTTCCATAAAATAGGACTGTTTGTTTATCTGTTTGTTTCTGGAGTGGTCAAATCTCTTCCAAACCTCACAGGTCTGTTTAAGATTTAAGACTGTCCACCACCACACCTCCAACCTTCAACAGAAGGAAACCTGACCACAGGTAAGGGACATACACACCCTGAAATTCCTTGGGTCACAGTATCCAAAACAAGGTTCCAGAGCATCACCACTGCTTCTATCTGTCATCTATCTGTCTATCTATCTATCTATCTATCTATCAATCATCTATCAATCATCTATCAATCATCTATCTATCTATCTATCTATCTATCTATCTATCTATCTATCTACCTACCTACCTAATAGAGTACATGAAATTGGGTGGGGGTTGTAGGGGGCGCAAATGAGGAAAAAGATCTAAATATATTGTATGGAATTCATAAAAATTCAATAAAAAAAGATTTGAGAAAACTAGGGCAGGGTGTGGTGGCACATGCCTTTAATCCCAGCATTCAGGAGGCAGAGGCAGGTGGATCTCTGTAAGATGGAGGCCAGCCTGGCCTACATAGTGAGTTCCAGGTCAGCTGGAGCTACAGAGAGACCCTGTCTCAGAAAACAAAAAGAAACAAAAGATTTAAGAGAAGACCAGGAGAGTTGCTTTCTTGGGGCACTGCAACCGCACCTTGATGAGGTGGAATGGAAACAAAGGAATGAATCTGACAACAGCTACATCTAGGCAACTAGAAACTATGAGGTGTGAGTAGAGAATATAAGGAGGCAGCAACAAATGACATGTCTGTGTCACACAAACACTATCTCTGTACTTTGTGCAACTCATTGTTTTCAGATAGTCACACACCAAAAAAATGCTGATTCATAATTGGCTGCTAGAAGGCTGTAAGAACAGATGTACTTTGTGGGTGCCAGGAATTGAACCCAGGTCTTCTGCAAGAGCAGTCATCACTCTTAACAGCTGATCCATCCCTCCCACCCCACTCTGAATTATTTTTATTCCAATTGGTGATGCCAGTACAGGACAGACGTAGAAGTTTTCAGTGTATATAAAGATATACTAGAAAGTTATTCTCAATGAAAATAGATGAAATATTAATCTAATATTACCGAAGGCTATAAATTCTGGGTTCTGAGCCAGGGCACAATAATTCAGAAGATTTTTGTTTTTGTTTTGAGATAGGGTCTCACTATGTAGAACTGGCTGGCTTGGAGCTCACTATGTAGATCAGGCTGGCCTCAAACTCATAGAGATTCATAAGTCTCTGCCTCCCAAGTGATGGGATCAAAGGTGTGGGCCATCAAAACCAGCCAGGAGATTTTCTGAAGGCAGAGTTCATTGCTTATTCATTCAACATCTAGTTTAACACTTGGCAAATAGTGAATCTCATAATTTGATTATAAGTAAGAAGGAATTACAGGGCTGAGGAGATGGCTTAGTCAGTAAAGTGCCAACCGCACAACCAAAGGGGCCTGAGTTCTGATCCCTAGAACCCATGTCAAAAGCTGGGAAGGGCAGCACAGACCTGAAATCTGAGCACTGAGTGGAGAGGAGGGGCAAGAAAAGACAAGACAGGTGGATTCCTGAAGCTCACTGGCAAGCTGAGCACCAGCACTCTGCCTGCATCTGCCTCCAGAGTGCTAGGATCAAAGGCTTGCATCACCAAACTTGGCTATTGTCCCTACTTTTGACTTCTGGGGCTGTCCCTTCAAAACTAAGTTGTAAAAGTCTGATTTTAAAAAATGAGCCAGAAGGCTAATCATAAGCAAGTTACCTGAGCATTCATGGAAAGGGTTAATGCTGTTTTACTTGCTTTGATTTATCATTAACTTGCATAGGCTGCAACCATATAAACACTGAGGGCAGCCTTTACTGAAGGCTAATTCAAACTTTCTAACTGGATACACACATTCCCAAGGAAGGTTAAAAATAAGTAGTTTGGAAAAGTAACTAAGCAAGTAAATCAAAGGAATTTAATTTTTAAAGATTGGAGTCTAAGGGTCAATGTACCCCTTACTCCGAATCCAACCTTCTAGGCTCTGGGGTGAGGTGCCAATCACCTGCAAGAGGACTTCAACCAGCTAGAAAATCAATTGACACATGCAGAGGGACCTGCTAAATTTCCAGAATCCTAGGAAGCAAAACCCTGCAAGTCCTTTGGGCTAAAGAAAACATCCACTAAAAACAAATACACAACATAAATACCCCTTACATGTAAACACAGAAATTGATCAGCAATTCCCAAGCACAAAAGTCTAGTTAGAATTTTAAAAGGCTCTGATAAAATCCAGCAATTCTACTATCCAATGTCCAAGTAGATCCAAGGAGGGTAACACAAACCTCACTTGCCTTCCAGGTACTACCTCTGCTTCTCAAAGGCCCATTCCCTCTAGGTTCTCCCTATTCCTGTTGGTTGGTGGCACAAGTCTGTAATCCTAGCTACCCAGGAGGCTTGGTGGTCTTGGCTTGCTTCCCCCTGGGTAAGATATATCTCTGTAACAGGAGCAAAGCACAGATGCTTAGTACACACACATCTTAGCTTCCAGCCTCCAGTCCTGTCCTTCTCCTTTGTCTTTTTTAGTTATCCCCCCTCCTCTTCAATTATGCAGTCCCCTTCTCTCTCTCTCTCTCTCTCTCTCTCTCTCTCTCTCTCTCTCCTAAATATGCTTTTTCCTATAGATAAAATTTACACACATAACAAAGGCACCCCAACTTAGCAAAGTTTGACATACAATTTTTCAGCTTTAAACTGGTACAGTTGTACTGCTATTCAAATGTTCTGTTTTTCACTTTTAGTATAGTATCAAGAAATCCCAGAGCTATGGTTCAGCTTTGATGTCTGGTAGACTGGGCTGCATTCACTGTATCAGCTTACAATATTTTCAACGTACAGGTGGTTTATTGGAATGTAACCTTATTATAAGGTGATATACATACACCATAGTGAGCAGTCGTCTATTCTTGACTTTGAAAACATGTTCCCTGGAGTGTGATGGGGTGCAGGACATGCTGCCCCCAAATATGCAAATAAAGTAGCTTGGAAGCTGAAGGAATGCACAACATGTCTCCCCTCCCTTCTTCCCTGTAGCAGATCATAATGCCGCAGAAAAATTTTCTGGTTTTCCCTGTGTGACCTGGAGGATGTTCCTCTGACCCTGTGATGACAAGCCATGGACCCGCCTCCTTCCCCGCTCTGCGAAGAAGCCACGCCCCTTCCCTCTTCCATCCAATTGGTTTACATTAGCCACTTGCAGGGGAGGGACTAAGGGTATAAAAGCTAGGAAAACTTCGAGGCTGGTCTCTAGCCATTTTGTAAGGCTGTCCAGAACCAGTGGATTTATGTCTTGGTGTGGACTTTTGAACATAGCCGTGAATGGGAGGCGCCTGCTTGTCTGTAAGTAAACCCTCACTCCAAGCTCAGTTAGCAAGTCCAATAAACTCGTTAAGATTCTTCAAACCGGGGTTTGGAGAATTTTTTCCTCGGGCTGTAGCAAGGATGTGGGAGGAGGGGATAGGATACCAAGTGCACTTCCCAGCAGTGAATTTGACTTATACCCTGAAACAGGTCATAAGCCCTCAAATAAGAAGCGTCCTCCCTATACCTGTTTCTAACACAGTGAGATACACAGAAGAACGTGAAGAAATAGGCCTTTGAAGCCTCTTAATCAGCTCATTCCTCTTCCATGATTGTCCACTCTTCATCAAACCTGGCTTAAAAACACTCACTTGAGTCAAGGCTGGTGGTGCAGGCCTGTAACCCCAGCTACCCAGAAAGCTAAGGCAAGAGTTGACTGCAAGTTTCAGGCCAGTCTAGGCAATTTAGTGAGACCCTATCTCAAAAAACAGGAAAAGCAGGGCTAGGAATATAGCTTAACAGTAGTGTGCTTACTTAGCATGCCTGAGACCCTAGGTTCAATCTCCAATACTGCAGAAAAGCAAACAAACAATTATGTTGGTACAATAATTCCTTTGAGTCTTCATTTCTTTTCCAAGACTCCCAAGTCACATGAAATCTAGGTTAGATCAATGTGTCCATGTTTCTTTTGCTAGTCTGTCTTTTGTTACAGAGGTCTCCCTCTTCCATGAATTCAGGCTGGGTGAGGAGGCCATTCTTCCATCTCTACAACTGCACATAAATAAAATAACTGTACCAGATGGAGGTCAGGTTGGAGTTGTTTGGTCTTCTCTGCTGTTGCTGCAAGGGCTCTAAGTCTACATTTCTTGTAGCCAGGACACTTTACAAGTTGTTTCCCATACCTGCAGCATACTCAGCCCTCCTGAGGTTGAAGATTTCATACAATCCTGAGGGGAACTTAGGAGGTAGAGGACAAAGGTTTGGGTGGGGAAGGGCCAAGTAGAACCACTCAGCCTGGAGCAGACCCCGTTTTCTTTTTGTCATGTTTTAAATTTTAAAAATATTGGAAATAAAAAGAACGAAAGCTTATAAACCTGACGAATGGCTTAATTTTAAATCCTAGCTGCATAACCCCTGACCCCCAAACTGCTTGTTTTTGCTTCCATGGCAACATGGTGTTCCTTAGTTATTCTGAGAATGTGTTAAGCAAAGATCTGCAAATCATCAGAGGCATTCGGCTGGAGATTACACAACTGGCCTGACTATACAAATCAGATTATATATCTGACTTGGAGTTTGGAATTCAGGGAGCCTTTCAGAGGGTGAGCAGGCACAGTGAGGGCAGAGCTCACACTCGGGAGAGCCAAAGTGGCAGAGAATGAATAGAGACCATATCCAACCTTGGCCAGAACACTGTATTCTCTAAATGGCCATGGCCAAATGCTACCCTTTTCTTTTAAGAGGCCTACTAGGATGTAAACATTTCAAGTAATGAGAAAAAAGTGAGTTAATATGTTTCATGTATCTCCATGTTAACTAATGTACAACACAGATAAACTTTTATTGTTCATTTTCAAATGTATTAAATAAACTTGAAATAAATATGCTTTATTTATTTATTTATTTATTTATTATTTTTGAGACAGGGTCTCTCTGTAGCCCCAGCTGGCCTGGTACTTACTATGTAGACCAGGTTTGACTGGCAGGAATGTGGGTTAGGGGTTCCTTCCAGAAGCAGAAATGACGCAAAGATAGCTGCATCACCAAAAGCCTACCTCAGCATGGGTGACAACTCACCCAAACTGGAAACCTGGAGCTTATTGAATAATTTACAGGCAGCTCAGCAGATGAGAGGGAGTCTCAGACAACTCCACTGGTCTCTACTTATTGCAGGCAGCTTGGCCTATCTGGCAGTGTCCCTCAGCAGGCCTTACTTTGCATATATACTTGGGGAGGGAGGGACCTGGTGTATCTGATCAGTTTCAAGAACATCCTGAAATCTTTGAGTTGTATACCTCCTGAGCTTAATGAACTTCCCTGTAGGATGCAATGCTTCCCCTCCCTTTAGGACTTCCTGTATTTTACTGAGGATGTACTTTACTTCAGGATGAAATGTTTCACTTCCCTTGAGACCATCCTGTATCTTAAGGAGTTTCCCTCTAGAATGAAATGTTTTATCTAGGAGGAAACTGTTACACAATAGGTAAGGCTCTGTCCAATATTCACAAAACATTCTGAAAGTGGTAATGATCTACAGTATCACTCATTCTTCTAATTAGTTGATTTATAATTTGTCAAAGGGCAAAAAAAAAAAAAAAATCTTCTTTCCCAAGAGTGGCAAATCAAGGTTTGAACTTTGGTATAAAAAAGCCCCACATTTCAAAATTACATTATTCCTTTTGAATTTGAAGGTCAAAAGTTTCCTTCAGGAACAAGTTGCCCTTCCTTTGCCTTGGAAAGACTTCTGTATACTCACAGCATTGAAGGTAGCACTGGTAATTAATTCTAAGACATCTTCAACATTCTATGCGACTGAAATCCTTGGATCCAGCGATTTAAACTTTTTCAATGTAGAGAATTCTTTCTAGAATGTACAGGTGCATGCCAATTGGTCGTTCCAGCTAATGGAAAGGGGTTGTAGATGCTGAGGTTCATCTTGGAACCTAGGGATCCTCAATCAGCTCTATAATCACTGCTTTCCTGTCGTTGAATGGTTAAGAGAGTGGGCCTTTAAGTAACACAGACTAGACTTTTATCTTGAGTCTACCAATTAAAAGTGTACTTTATGCTGGACGTGGTGGCACATGCCTGTAGTCCCAGCACTCAGGAGGCAGAGGCAGGCAGATCTCTGTGAGTTCAAGGCCAGCCTGGTCTACATAGTGAGTTCCAGGTCAGCTGGGGCTACAGGGAGACCCTGTCTCAAGAAGACCAAAAGAAGTGTATTATCTTCACATTTGCATTCCTGCTCTCTGAAATGGGACTAATAGCAGTACCACTCCATTGAGTGGTTGTGGGAATGGCATAAATTCATCCATGGAAAGTACTTAACACACAGCCTGGTAGACAAACTGACTAATCAGTAGCAACTATTTTCGCCTTCAAATCTGTCCACATGCCACAGGCAGGCTAGTTTTCATAAATCACTGCATTCCACATGTCATTGCCCCGATTCAAACTTCATAATGCACCTTCCATTGCTATTATATGCAAAATAACTGATACAGCACTTACTCTAGAATGGACGTATGTCAGTATATATTCGTATGGATGGATATCTAGCTGTATCTATATCTACATCTATATAGTTTCCATCAAACTCGCCTGCCCCATCTGCCTCATCCACCATTCCACTGATCTGCCGTTCACATACCCAGGCTTTAATACATAGGAAACAACTATGCACAGAGCCTTGGGGCAAGGGCTAATCCATGAAGTATATAAGAATATGTAAATAAGACAGGCAAAATACACAAAAAGAGAAAATATAAGCAATGCTGAGTAGTGTACTCCAAATATAAAATGCGTAGCAAGAGCAAGTATGTAAATAACCTGGGAGAGTTGGTAGTCTTCTTGAGGAAGTAGGCTTGCAGCAGTAGTTGAACATAAGATACTACATGCATGGGGATCATGGAGCAAACCTGTGATCTTTACAGAGGGCCTCACAAGAGACAAGACTGAGATCATGGGAGGCAACGTTGATTCACTGAAAGTTTCCTAAATTGTACTGTAGGGTGTGTATAGAAAGAATTGGGACAGGAAGAGTTAGGAGGGACATGCGCTCTGGGGGCCATCTACCCAGTACTCTTGCCCATACAAAGCAGACTGCATCTTCCCCCCCACCTGCTCCTCCCCAGTAACGCTATCAGCACACCAGTACCACCCAACAAAGGCCCCAGCAAGGAGACTAACTACCTGTAGTCCCTCATTCATTGCTCCTTTTCACCCTTCACATTCAGTAAGTCATCAAGTCCACTAATTTCTACTTTTAAATGTTTCTTAATTCTGTTCGCTGTTCTCTGTTTCCACTGCCAACTACCCGAAGCAAATCATCAGCACCTCTACAATAACTATTTAACTACCACCCTACAGACTCCCTTGGGTTCCTCCAACCCATTCTCATTCTGTCTCCGAAGAGGTCCTTTAAAAATGTTTATTGGATGACACCATCCATTCCTATTGTCCCCAGGATGCCCCATGTCCTTCCAATGACTTGTCACAGCCTCGCCTCAACCTCTTTTCTTGATGCTTTTCTTCTGGTTCCGCCATCCTCAATTTCTTTCAGCTCCTTAGCTGTCTAGTATTCAAACATGTGCCTTTAACTAAAATCACTTTCCCCTCATCCCACATCCTTCCCAATACCATGCCTCACCCACACTCACACACCCACATTCACACACCCACTGAGTCATCCTGTTCCCCCTCATGACCTGATTAACACCTGCTGTTCCTGCAGCTTTTCAACCTAAAATCAACTTCCTGTGAGAAGCCTTTCCTAAATTCACACCTTAGAGCTCCAGTGCATGGTCTCACAATTTCCTGTACTTCCTTCTTCCTTCTATATCATTGTTGGAATCATTCGTTCAGTATCTGCATCTCACACTAGAAGCAAAGGCCCTAACTGTTCTGTGTAATAAGGTAGTAGCATGCAGACAGTTCCTGGCCAGAGTGGTTGCTCAACAAGTGCTGTAAAATGAACAAAGGGTGGAATTAAGATCCTTTAAGGACCTCCTGCAGACATAATAGAAGAAGGATCATTTGGGGAACCACACTGATGGGGATGATAAATAACTGTGAGAAGGGTTAGGCCAGATGACAAAGCCACTCTGCAGCTGGGGGGAATGGTATTAAAGTCACAGCCAGGTGTCTGTACTAGAAACTGGGTTTTTTTTTTGTTGTTGTTGTTGTTGTTTTGTGTTTTTTTTGCATTAATGCAAGTATAAATGAAGAAAAGAATAGAATGCTATGACCTTATTGATGAAGATGAGTTCTAACCAACAAATAGTATATCAAACCTAGAAACCCTGCTCTGTTCTTGAAAC